TCTGCAAGCTTAGTGTGTTTCTTTTAGAGAACTATGAACAATGAAAATGAGCCAGAACAATGTCAGTGAACCCATTAGCAATGAAAGAGGTTGGCCTCAGACCAGTCAGTGGCCTCTAAGTAAATACAGACATAACGCATGTTCCGCCTGGTTCTCACTCCAGGATTGGGGAATCTGTGAGACTAGAACGATTTCTTAGTCTCTCTCAAGACAGGAATTACTCTTAGAATATCACTGATAGATGGTTGCACAATTTTCTTTTGAACCCTTAGAGCTGCTGAAACCCTCCTACCACTTAAAGACAGTGTAGTTGTGTTAAAGACAGCTCTATTGGAAAATTATTTCCCCCTCTGAGTCAACTATTCTTACATGGGACCTTTACTTACTGGTCCCTTAGTCAGGCTTGGGCCATGGAGGATGTGTGCTCCCTCCTCTCTAAGATAATTTTCCAAATAGTTGAGGTTCGTTTTATAATGACTTCTCAGTCAGTCTTCAGATTAACTACCCCAAGCCTAGTTTGTCATCATCTTTGCATTTGAAACAATGTCCAGATCTGTCCTAGTGGCTGTTTGTTAAATTTACCAGGTTTGTCATTGCCACCCTCAAAATGGGACTCAGACCTACCATTTTCCCCCAGTGTAAGCAACAGATGTGGCATTTCATGTCCAACATAAAATATCTGCACTATTAATTCTTGCTAGAGAACCCAAGTTCAAACTTTCCATCACTCAGCTGTTCACAAAAGTTTGTTTTCAAAATTGAAAGTCTTGGGATTTTGACCACCGAAGACCCTCTGCCCAGACTTCACCTTCATGCTCCCCAGTCTAGCCAGGAGATAGGATAAACCAATCAGCATCCTTCTATATTTGAGTTCTGAGCAGCCCCATTCAGGGATTTTTTTTTTCTTTCATTTATTTAGTTTTACATTTTCCACAAACATTTACTTTACATATCAAAAAATTTTAGCTTATACTCCATAGTTCTTGACAGTTTACAAACAATTTTCAAAATACTGAATTTTAAAGATAATGTTCAAAATATTTCTTATAACTTTGTATAATTTTATGACTAACAACAGAAGCAGTATGGTTTCAAATATAAATATATATATATATATTTAGAGTTCAGTCACTCAGGGATTTTTTACCACCAAAGACCTTCTGCCCTGACTTCACCCTCCTGCTCTCCAGTCCAGTCAGGAGTCAAAGAATACAAGGGAACTCATGGAAATGTCATATAAAGAATTTAAAATATTCATAG